GTTTTTTGTTTTTGTTTTTTTCAATACTGGGGATTGAACTCAGGACCTTGCACTTGCCAGGCAGAAGCTCAAGCCACTAAGCTATCTCCTAAGTCCTAGCTTTAGTTTTCTGAGGAATCTCCACATTATTTCTACAGTAGTTGCACCAGTCTACACTTGCACCACCAATAGAGGAGGGTTTCTTTTCCCCCACAGCCCCTCCAGCATGTTTTTGGTTTAATTCTGGATAATCGCAAGTCTATCAGAAGTGAGATGGGATCTCAGCACTGTTTTAATTTGCATCTATTAAATAACCAGGGATGTTGAATATTGTTTCATTTATTTATTTGCCATTTCTACTTCATCTGAGAAGTATCTATCCATTTCAGATGACCATTTTCCCCTCTGTCTCAGTCTCCCCAACACTGGGATTAAAGGCATGTACCACCATGCCCAGTTTTGGTGGCTGGCTCAGCATGCCCAGGGGGTGAGGCTGGGGTTGCCTGTGGTGCTGGGGGTCAAGCCCAGGTCCTTGCACTTGCCAGGTAGGCACTTAGACAGCTGAGCTATCTCCCCAGTCCTTGAGTTCTTTAGATGTTCTCAATCCTTTGTCTGAGGGACAGCTGGCAAAAATATTTTCCCACATATGTGTTGTCTTTTCACTCTGTTGGTGGTTTCTTTTGGAATGCAAAAGCTTTTTAATATAATGAGATCTCAATTGTTGATTCTTTGTGACAGTTCCTAGGCAATCTTGGTTTTGTTCATAAAGTCTTTGCCTACTCTAGTGTTTTCAAAAATTCTACTTATTATTTGTCCCAGAAGACTTACTGTTTTAATATTAGGATCTTTGATCCACTTGAGATTCAGTTAGGTGTGTGTTGAAAGATATAGATCCAATTTTAATGTTTGGCAGATGGAGTACCAGTTTTCCCATACCTTTTTTTTTTTTTTTTTTTTTTGGTGGAACCGGGGATTGAACTCAGGGCCTTGTGTTTGCCGGGGAAGTACTTATTCCACTGAGTCATCTCCCCGGTCCCTCCAGTACCACTTATTAAAGAGGCCATCTTTCTTTCAATGAATGTGTTTGGTACCTTTGACAAAGATGAGGTGGCTGAGTATGTTTGGAATTGTTTCTGCATCTTCTAATCTGCTCCATTGATTTTAGAGTTGTGGTACAATTCGTAGTATAATTTTAAATCAGGGATTGTGATGCCTCCTACTTGCCTTTGTTGCCCAGATTTGCCTTTTCTATTTTAGGTCTCTTCTGTTTCTACACGAATTTTAAGATTGTTTTCTCTAATTCTTTGAGATATGTTTTTGGAAATTTGATTAGAATTGCATTAAATCTGTATAACACTTTCAGAAGTATGGCCATTTTCACTGTATTGGTTCTTCCTACCTACAAGCAAAGGATATTTATTTATTTATTTTGGTGGAACTGGGGATTGAGCTCAGGCCCTTGCACTTGCCAGGCAAGCACTTATTCTACTGAGCCATCTCCCAGGCCCCTATTTTATTTTTTTGTATTTTAGTACAGGTTCTACAGGGTTTCACTTCGGAGATCAGACTCATAGTGATCTGCTGCAGTGATCCCACTAGCTGGGATTACAGGTGCATACCACCATGCCCAGGCTCAATTGCTGTCTCAGCATGCCCTGGGGGCAGGGCTGGCACAGCAGGTTGGGGATCGAGCCCTGGCCCCTGTGTCTGCCTAAGCAGGAGCTTTAATCCACTGAGCTCTTGGCCAGCCCCTCTTTTTTTTTTTTTTTTTTAAATGTATTTGGTTGTTGCAGGGTCTCAGGATGCAGCTCAGACTCATGGTGATCCTCCTGTTTTCAGCCTCCCCAGTGCTGGGATTACAGACATGCGCTACTTCACCCCAGACCCTGGCAGGCTCAGCCTGCCCTGGGAGTCGGGCTGGTGCAGCATGTGCTGCTAGAGATCGAACTGCAGTCTCCGATCTTGTCTAAGCAGGTGCTTTAGTCTGCTGAGTTATCTTGCTGGTCCTGTCTTTCTTTCTATTTTCTGATATCCTCTTCAATCTCTTTTTTCTTTTTTTGCATTTTAGTACAGGGTCTACAGGGTCTCACTATACAGATTGGACTTTAGTGATACTCCTGTTTTCAACCTCCCAAGAGCTGGGATTACAGGTGCGCGCCACCAGGCCCCATCTCAGTAGCTGTCTCCATGCGCCCCAAAGTAGGGGTCAGCACAGCATGTTGGGGATCAAACCCAGTCGCTGGGCCTGCCTAAGCAGGCGCTTTAGTCTGCTGAGCTATCTGGCTGGCCCTTCAATCTCTTTGTTCCTAGTACTGTAGTTTTCAATATAGAGGTCTTTTACATCCTTTGTTAGATTGATTCCAAGGTATTTCATTTTTTTGGATGCTATTGTGAAAAGTGTTATTTCCGCAATTTGTTTCTCAGTGATTCTGTTATTCCTATACACGAAGGCTACTGATTTTTGAGCAGACATGCATATTTACTTATTTGGTGCTGGGAACTGAACTCAGGACCTTGTGCTTGCCAGGCTGGTGCTATCCCACTGAGCTATATATCCCTGGGGCTAGACATGCATATTTAAATGCTGTGTTTTTTCCCCTCTGGTATGAGAATCTGAAAATATAAATAAGGACAAAAAGTTATAGTGGAAGCCAGGCATAGTGGCACTAAACTATAATGCCAGCGCTAGGGAGGCTGGGGTAAGAGGATTGCTGTGAGCTTGAGGCTGTTCCAGTGTGCAAAGTGAGTTCAAAATCAATAAGGCCATCCTGAACTACACAGTGAAACCCTGTCTCAAAAAAAAAGAAAGAAAGAAAAAAGAACCCTATTGTAATAATGAAAGCGCAAGTTAGCTCTGCTCATTGGCATCTTGCTGGAGCAGAAAGGAGACATTTCTAGAATCGCCTACTTCCAGTTTCACAGCTGCTCACCTGTGCACAGGGTCAGTCAGAGTTGTCTCCTCAGCGCACTTCCTCTCTGCCTTCCTTAAGGTTAATCTGGTCATTTTCAAAGTAAAGAAGTGAACAGCCGATGACAGAAGAAATTTGGGTATAAATTGAGGTGACTCATCCTCAAGATGAAAAACAATTATGAATTATTATGTGCTGTTTATTTTCTCTGCAAATGCTGTTTCATCCTCTAGAAAGAGTGGGTCTGTTTGGCAGGAGGTTGCTGCATACCACATGCATAGGGGGGTGGGAGGTGGGAAGAGATCCGCTAAAGTTGATTGCTTTTTTTTTTTGGTCTTTTTGAGACAGAGTCTCACTATGCAGTTCAGGCTGGCCTTGAGCTCACCTTGCAACCCAGGCTGGTCTTGAACTTGCAATGATCCTCCTGCCTCAGCCTTCAGCCAGATTTTTTTTTTTTCCAGTCCATAGTTACAGTGTCCTCCAAAAGTTCTAAGGTGGCATGAGGGCCTGTCCTTGCAAGCTCTCCAGTATGCAACTTGGCTGAGAATCTTTGGTCCTTAAGGTCCTTTGTGTGGAGTTGGAGCCCCCTAGGGGCATGGTTTTGGGAAAGCATCAAAGATTTTTTCTGTCTTCTGGCAGCCTTAAGTTCCCTAGAAAACTCCATCTGGCCATTCTACCCTTAGGTGCGTCACCATGACAGGCTTCTCCCTATTGTGAAGGGGAAACAACCCAGGAACAGGGTATCACCGGCTTCCCAGTTCCAAATTATAAAAAAGAGGCATCATAAATATAGTCTTGGTTTAAATGAACTTTGTCAGAAATGAGGCTGCTTCCTTTAACCTTGGAATAAAAAGGATGAAAAGCAAGTAAATTTAAGGTCAAAAAAATTTAGTTTGTCCCCGAGGCCTATGCATTGAGCTTATTTATCCATAGAACTTATTTTTTTCATTGAAACAAATCTTGCTAAGTTGCCATGTCTGTGCTCAGGTTTGTGATCCTCCTGTTTCAGTAACCCAAAGTTCTGGGATTACAGGTATTCATCACCATGTTCAGTGCAGTTTTTCAAAAGTGACTACAATCTCAATATTCCATGTGTGGTCATCAAACAGGACTGATGAGATCTCTAGCTACTAAACAGAAGAGAAGATAGACTTGAAATCATAAGATTAACAAAATTTAAAAAGTCTTCACTTTTGGCCTGCCAAACATAAAGGATCTACCTTTCCTATGAGTCATTAAGTTTCTCTAACTCCTGCATACACACCATCTTTTGTAGAAGGGCTGATTTTGTTGTTATTCTAGACCTACAAAGTGTTCAAATATTTTAATCTATTGATAACTTCCATCACTGAAGTTTTCTTTCTTTCTTTCTTTCTTTCTTTCTTTTTTTTTTTTAAGACAGTGTCTTGCTCTGTAGTCCATGCTGGCCTTGAACTCACTACATAGCTCAGGTTGGCCTTGAACTTGTGGTCCTTCTGCCTCAACCTTCCAAGCTGGGATTACAGGTGTGTTCCACCATGCCTGGCTGGAAATTGAGCCTATATGAATAATGTCAAGGAGAGGAGAGCCTTACATCCCCCCAACACTGGGGATTGAACTCAGGACCCTGCACTTGCCCTGCAGGCAGGTGCTTCTTCTACCAAGCTATCTCCCCGGCCCACAAGCCTTACCTCCTTACCTCCTTATTTATGTTTGAGATAGTCTCCTTTTTATTTAATAAACTAATTTTTTGAGATGGTCTCTTTGTAGTGCAGAGATCCTTAGATTCCCTTGAGAGGAATCTACACGTCAAAAGAGATGATTTGCTTAATTTCGATAAGTAGTATTGGGAGTCCATAAGACAGTCGTTAACCTACATTAGATCACAATGTTTTGATGCTATGAGTTGTGATCTTCAACACACGAGAACGTCTAGTTCTCTCAGCAATTTGGTCAGCACCCTAAGCAACTCTACTATACAGCTTGTGATCTGAATTTGTTTACTTATGTCTTGGACCGCGAGACTTGTTTTTCTACACTTGTCTGTGCCTCCTTGAACGACTGCATCGGCGCTCGCCCTTTGATGCCTGGGGCGTTCGCGCAATCGGTGATCCCTTGCGCCTTCTCCTCGCTTGATGTCTTCTCAGAGGCGACGGCGGCGGCGGAGGCAGCGCCGGGTCGCGGGCTGAGGTATCCGCGAGGCCTCTGGCTCAGGTCGCTTTCACCCGCTGGCCAGTAGAATTGGGTCCTTTATTGCCTTTGCGTCTGTTTTCTCCTTCTCTGCGAGGATCAGACCTTCCGCTGGGCTGCGAGTCGAGCCCTCGCCCGCGGAGCAGGTAGGCCCGGGAGGATCCTGGAGGCCCGACTCCGCATCCTTGCGCCGCGGGCCCGGAGCCCTCGGCGCCGGCGGAGGGCGGGCGGTCGGGAGGAGCGCGGAGGGGAGGGAAGCGGAGCGACGGCTGGCTGCGTGCGGGGGCGCGGCCCAGGGCGCCGCGGGGGAAGCCGGAAGGAGCGCAGAGCGGGGCTGGCCGGGACGGCTCCGAGTTGGGGACGTGGGGGCGGGGGAGAGGTCCCGGCGGGGGTCGGACTCCTTGGGTGTGGGGAAAGTGCTTTCCGGGATCTGTCGGAGCCCTGCGCGACGCGACCCTGTTCCTTCTCCTCTCCCCCCACCTCACGCTGCTGTTGTCATGACTCAGTTGCACCACAGACCCCTACTAAGTGTGGTCTTTTCGGGAACTTTGGAGTCGGGGGAGGCCGGTGAAACCAGTCCTTCGGCTTCTCTGCGCGAAGTGTCCCGTTCTTCCCTTTTTTGGATAGGGAAACGGGCTGAGGTCTGGGATATGACTACCCCATTTCCCAGGCAGATCATTAAATGTAGCCTAGGTCACTTTTGGCAACTTATTGGTTTACTTTTTTTTTTTTTTTTTTCTCCTCCCATTTTACCAGTTATGTTTGCACACAATAATTTCATTTGATTACTTGTGACCCCGTCTGTCCTAGGAATATAAATTATCACTGAAGGATTCAGAAGTTAAGGGATCACGGGATCTTTTTGGCTGGTTTTGCTTTTCAAAGTATAATTTAGGGAGAAGTAGCAACAGTTCACTTACTTTTTTCTTTTTTTTTAATTTTTATTTATTTTTATTTATTTGTGTGTGTGTGTGTGTGTGTGTGTGTGTGGCCAGCTCAGCCCACCAGGGGGCGGGGCTGGCTGGCATGTGGTGCTGGGGGATTGAACCGCGGTCCCTGTGCTTTGCTTAGCTTAGCTTGTTCTAAGTAGGTGGTTTAGACCACTGAGCCATCTTACCAGCCCAATTTTTTCTATTATTAGTACATATTTGCCATACACAATGATTGCATTCATTGTGAGTAGCTGTTATGTCTTTTATGTTTTTTTTTAATTATTTATTTATTTTTATTTATTACATTTATTTATTGTGTGTGTGTGGCCAGCTCAGCCCACAAGGGGGCGGGGCTGGCTGGCATGTGGTGCTGGGGGATCGAACAGCGGTCCCTGTGCTTTGCCAAGCTTGTTTCGAGTAGGTGCTTTAGACCACTGAGCCATCTCTCCAGCCCCTATGTTTCTTGATAGGTTATTTTATTTACTGTCTAATCCCCCCCCCCCATAAACTCGTTGCCAGGCAAATGCTGTGCTGCTGAGCTATATCCCCGGTCCCTAGGAATTTTTTTGTAAGTTTGGTCACTTTTTTTTTTTTTGGTCACGTTTCGTTAATGGTTTAGTTACTGTATATATTTAGATACTTATATGACAGTGAATAATTTGTAAGTTTTATTATTCCTTTTCTTTTTGTATGTGTTGGGATACTGGGAATCAAACTCGGGAACTCACTTTTTTTTTTTTTTTTTTTTTTGGCGGGACCGGGAATTGAACTTGGGCTAGTGCTTATTCTACTGAACTGTCTCCCTGGCCCAGGAACTCACTTTTGCCAGGCAGGCATTGCTCCGCTGAGCTATATCCCCTACCACCCCCTCCCCATTATTTGTTTTCTTTCCCAATTTGGAACTTTAGGAATTGTTTTTATTCATTTTATTTTTATTTGATTGAGTGACATGATCTTGATTTTTATCATTTATTGTTTGCTGGGGCAGAAAAAAGTCTAGATGTCACTCGGGGTTTCTACAGAGTATAGAGTGTAGCAGAATGGCTTGAATAGAGCACAGATTAAATTTCTTTTCTTTGGATAGAAACTGTACAGATTTGTATTTCTGCACAGTTTTAGGATTGTCATATGGATTTGGGAAGATTATTATTTTTGTGAAATTTTTTACTTTTGGTGTCCACAAGATTTATTTATTTTTTTCCGCAAAAAAAAAAAAAAGATTTATTTATTTTTAAAATTCTTCAGTGGGACTGAGGATTGAACCCAGGGCCTCAGGCATATTACTGAGGTCCCTGCCACTGAGTTGCACCTCCAGCCGTCAGATTTTGTAGGAAGGGCCTTTTCATCACTAGCAGTTTCTTGGTCAGCAGAACCTCAGTGGTTCCAGTAAGGGATGAATAAAGAGCCACCTGGCTTTGTGGAGAACCTAGATTGAGAAATTAAGCTAAAAATGGGTATTTTCTGATGAAGTTTTTAGTATAGAAGGAAATGTATATCAGAGCAAAGAATTTAGAGAAGGAAATCTCTGAATTTACTGGGGATTAATAAATTAGGCATAGACTTTAGAGTTAAAAATAGGATCTCACTGGCTTCATTAGAATGCTGAAAAATAGAGATCTGTAAGTGTTACCAAGGAAGTTTTGACACGTTACACATTTTATTTTTTGTGGTACTGAGGATTGAACAATTAGCTATATCCTCAGCCCTTTTTTGTTTTGAGAGAGGGTCCCACTAAGTTGTCCAGGCTGGAATTGAACTTGTGACCCTCCCTCCTCAGCTTCCCAGAGTGTTGGGATTGTAGACATGCAGCACCATGCCTGGCTTGTTATATTTTTGTGGGAAATGGTTATTTTTGTTTTGTTTGCTTTTTTTTTTTTGTACCAGGAATCAAATTCAGGACTTCATGCTTGCCAGGCAGGTACCAGGCCACTGAGCTATACCTCCAGCCTAGTTTTTAGGTTTGTTTTGGGCGGAACCCGGGATTGAACTTCAGGCCCTTGTGCTTGCTGGGGAAGCGCTTATTGTACTGAGCCATCTCTCTGGCCCCATTTTTGGGTTTTTTGAGACAAAAAACCTGGTCTTATTATACAGTCGAGGCTGGCCTTGAACTTAATATATTGCCCAATCTGGTCTCAAATTCACAGTGTTATTATTTCAGCCTCCTAGGTGCTGGGATTGCAAGTGTGCATATGCAGGCATGGCTTGTATGAAATAATTGGCAGAAGTTTAAGATAAATCAAGGCAGACAAGAAATGTGGTGGTGGTGGTAGGTTATAGGAATGGAGCTTATTACCATCTTCTCTGCTTTGTTGTAGAAATGTATACAGTTTTCACTTAATTAAATCATGTGTTCTATCAAAATCAAATAGGGCTCTATTCTGGCATTTGTTTTCAGAAATGTATAGGTTCAGAATGTGGTAAGAAAATTTGGGGGTTTATTATTTTTAAAATTTATATATATATATATATATATATTTTTTTTTTTTTAAATATATTCCGCTGTTTGTTTATTTATTACATTCATTTAGTGTGTGTGTGGCCAGCTCAGCCCACCAGGGGGCGGGGCTGGCTGGCATGTGGTGCTGGAGGATCGAACCGCGGTCCCTGTGCTTTGCCAAGCCCGTTCCAAGTAGGTGCTCTAGACCACTGAGCCATCTCTCCAGCCCCAAAATTTTTATATTTTTTAATTCTTTTTTTTTTTTGCGGATCCAGGGATTGAACTCAGGCCCTTGCACTTGCCATGGAAGCGCTTATTCTACTGAGCCATCTCCCTGGCCCCCTTTTTTTAAATTTTAAAAAATTATTTATTTATGTAACACAAGGTCTTGCTATGCAGCTTTGGACTTGTAGTGATCCTCTTGCCTCAGCCTCCTCAGCATTGGGATTATAGGCATTCACCACCACTCCTGGTGGTTTCAGTGGCCTGCAGCGCATATTTGAGGTTCTGGGGCTGGCGTGTTATGCAGTAACAGGGATTGATCCCAGATCCTTGCACTTGCCAAGCAGGCACTTAGACTGCTCAGCTAACTAAAGGTGTGAAATTCTTTGATTATATTCTAGGGCTTGACTTACAACAGAGTTGTTGAAGCAACTTTTTCATTTACTTAATTTTATAGCATTTTGTATTTAATTAACAGATTTTTGCACTGTGCTATATCTCCATGTCTTTAACATTTTTTCTTTATTTATTTGAGAAAGGGTTTCACTATGTAGTCAAGTTGGCCTTGAACTCACTGTATAGCCCAAGCTAACCTTGAACTCTGAGTGCTGGGATTGTAGGTATGTGTCACCATACTTGGTGACTTAAATTTTTTTCCTGAAAATTATGGAATTTTATAAAATTTTCTTTCTTTTTTTCATGTATTTTTATTTTTATTCTTTTGATTGAGGGTCTTGCTATGCAGTTTGGACTTGTAGTGATCCTCTTGTCTCAGTCTCCTTAGTGCTGGAATTATAGGCGTGTGCCACCTTTGGGCTGGCACAGAGTGCCCCAGGACCCAGGTCCAGCATGGCGTGTGGTACTGGGTATTGGACCCAGGTCCTTGTGCTTTCCAGGAAGGTGCTTAGACCACTGAGCTATCTTCCCAGCCCTTATTTTTTATCTTTTTAAAATTAAAAAAAAATTGTTATTTATTCTTTTAATTTAGTACAAGGTCCACAGAGTCTACAGAACAGAGTCTAACTACGTAGATTGGACTTGTGATTCTCCTGTTTTCAGATTCCCAAGTGCTGGGATTAGGGGACCCAGGTGACTGGGCGCCACCATGCCCATTCTCAATCGCCATCTCAGCGTACCCTTGGCCACTGTACTCTGCCTAAGCAGGTGCTTTAGTCTGCTGAGCCATCTGGCCGACACTTTTATCTTTTTGAGATAGGATTTCATTATGAAGTTCAGGCTGGCCATGAACTCATTTTGCAGCCCAGGCTGGCCTGGAACTCTCAGCTGTCCTCCTGTCTCCGCTTCCTGAGTGTTGTGATTATAGGCATGAGCCACCATGTCTGGCCCCTTACCTTTTAAAAATTTGTTTTATTTTTATGAAGATTTATTAGAGGAAGATATAGGACATAAAGATCAAAATGCAGGGGGCCTGCCCTTTAGCTCAGTTCTTTAAGTGGCTGCTTCAACAAAACAGTCAGGCTTGGGTTGCTGTGGTTCAGTCCCCACAACTCAAGCCAGCCAAGCCTGCCCTGAGGTCATTTGGTGCCCCCCCCCC